AACCACAAGAGAAGCCTCGCGAGACCTTCGTCCTAGAGCAGAGCAGGTGAGAACTGCGCACGCGCAAAGTGGCCAGTAAGTAGAACGTGGGAAGTGCATGAGTGCAAGCCGCGCATGCGCACCACTGCGCCGGAAGTTCTTAGCCCGTGGATAAGACTCTGGGTAACCCCGCGCGAGGTCCTTTTCCGCCGGAGCCACCGAGAGGGGAGCCGAGGTCCTCCTCCATGTGAGCCTTTGATGGGGGCTGGAAGAGGGCTGGAGGGATGAGGCCTGTCCACTCTGAAGCATTAAGGAACAGGCGAAGGATAGGAAGGGGAGGAGGAGAAGGAGAGGCCTTTTATCATGGCATGAGGCTGGTAGGCCCCAGTAATGGAGGGTGCACCCACCCTGTAGCCTCAATACAGCTTGATACCACGTTAACTGCCATAGCTCCGTGCTAAGGGACCCTGGGAGTTGTGCTTTTACTAGGCCTTTAGCCATCTCTGACAAAGAGTGCTGGTGCCTCACCAAACCACAACTCCCAAGATTCCATAGCATGCAGTCATGGCAGTTAAAGTGGTGGCAAACTTAAGTAATTCTACAGCCTTCTTTCATTTGCTCTCTTATTTATTTATAGTGTCAGGAGCAAACCAAACAGTTGTATTGCATTTTTAACAAACAGACATACAAAACACAAAGTTTGCAAGCTTGGTAGTTGATTAAATGTCCTTTGACCAGTATCTGGCCACTTGGAGCGCCTCTGGTGTTGCTGCAAGAAGGCACTCCATTGTTCATGTGGCAGGGCTCAGGTTGCATTGCATTCCAGCAGATGGTCTGTAGTTTGCTCTGTATATAATGGTTGTTTTTGGTAATTTCTTACTTCTATACTCTTTTAAAGGCAAAAGAGCAAAGTGGAGTTAAACAGGCAATAATGTCAGCTTGATGGTCTGCTCTAAACATCATACAGTTCGAGTACCCCTTAACCAATCCTGGAACCAGAAGCACTTTGAGCACAGCCCCCCCCCCCCACCAGTTTTGGAATGCTTGCAATAATTGCTTCATGAAATATATTGGAAGTGGGTTTTAGGTCTAAATGTAATATTTATTTGTGTTCATTAATTTTATGCATAGTATTTTAAAGTAATTTTGTGCATGAAACAAAACTTTTGTATGTTGAGCCACCAGAAAGCAACCATTATATACAAAGCAAACTACAGACCATTTCCTGGAATGCAATGCAACCTGAGCCCTATTATTTTGGGATTCTGGGCAAGGGATGATCAACCTGTATATGTATCCACTGAACATGTAGATTCCATATAGCTCGATTGACAAATCCCACCCTAGAAGGGGTAGTGAACCTACTAGTCGCCAGATGTAGTTGAACTGTATTTCTATCATTAGCCAACCGGTCTAATGATGCACCTGAAGTTTGACATCACTTTCACTTCTGTGGCTCAATGCTGTGACATCCTGGGAGCTGTCATTTAGTGGTTTTCAACCTGTGGATCCCCAGATGTTTTGGCCTTCAACTCCTAACAGCTGGTAAACCAACTGGGATTTCTGGGAGTTATAGGCCCAAACACCTGGGGACACACAGGTTGCGAACCACCGAATTAGAGGGTCTTTAGCCTTCTCCGCAAAAGGGTTCTGGGTTCCTACAAATGCAAAGATTTCATGGTACATGGCAGCGAAAGTGGTGTCAGACTTCAGAAATTCAGTAGGTAGATGGACCTAGGGACTGACAGAAGTTGGGATGTAATCACACATTTAGGGTAGGTTGTTGTAGGTTTTTTTGGGCTATATGGCCATGTTCTAGAGGTAAACATCTACAACAACCCAGTGATTCCGGCCATTAAAGCCGGAAATCGTTTCCGGCTTAGGGTAGTCGTTTCCTCATCCCTGTCTTAGAAGGGGCATTGTAGCCTTTCTTAATAAAGCATGTACCATTTGAGGGCCACTGTTATCAGTGAGTACCAGCAAGTCAGGTGACTCAGATTTGAATGAATTAGTATATGGTATTTCTGTTTGCTTGTTACCTCTATTTATGCAGGTAACATGCCAGAATTTAGTAAGCAACTCTTTGGTATATTCACTCTTTCTGGCTTTAAACTAGACTCCATTACAAGGAATGAATTTGTAGCCTATCTGTGTAATAAATACAGCCTCCTGAGCAGTTATGGTATTCCCAGACCTTGGTCATCCAGGTGTTTTGAACTTCAACTTCCAGCAGCCTTAGCCACTTTGGCCAATTGCCAGATACTTTGGGAGGAACAACGTTTGGGAACCACTACCCCAGACTATGGCCCTATCTACACCGACTATTTAATGCTGTTTCAAACTGTTATTGAAGAAAATTGTTTTGTTATAGGAAATTCTGGAACCAATTTGAGGCTCAGATTGTGATTATAGAAACCACAAAACATCGATTCACATTAACGGTTTTCTTTCATACCTTTTGTGGGGGTTTGTTGTCTGGCCACCACAGTTTGACACTTGCTTCACATTGCATTAAATGGTCAGTGTATATGGGGGCAGAGTAATTATCTGGCACTTAAAATTATTTTCTGCTGCTTCCAAAGTATCTGGAAAGGACGAAGAGGCTATTTTTCACACACTTCCTCACTTATGCAGAAAGGGAAGCAGATGAGATTGATGACTATGCTTTTGGTAATAAATTTAGGTACATACCGGATCTGAGAGCTCTTTATTCCTTCTGCAGAATGACTGAGTGGGAGACAGCCCCTGCTGTGGCAGAGACCCCTGATATCAAGCTCTTTGGCAAATGGAGCACAGATGATGTCCAAATCAGTGACATCTCATTGCAGGTATGGAAACGCAAGAAATGGAGACAGGTCTGTGGAAGGAGCTGCAGATCAGGGATGTCTTCTGTCTGGGTTTGTAGATGAATGTGAATGGTATGTATCATCTGCTTCTTAAGATTTCTCTCCCCTGATGTCTGGATTTTTCCTTGTGCATCTCCAGGATTACATTGCTGTGAAGGAGAAATACGCCAAGTATTTGCCCCACAGTGCTGGTCGATATGCTGCCAAGCGCTTCCGCAAAGCCCAATGCCCCATTGTGGAGCGCCTCACCAACTCCATGATGATGCATGGACGCAACAATGGGAAAAAGCTTATGACTGTGCGCATTATCAAGCATGCATTTGAGATCATCCATCTACTCACAGGAGAGGTGAGTTTCAGAAAGTGGCACACGTTTAGCCAAAGAAACTTGACATGAATCAGATAGACAACTGGGGAACTGGATTTTTGATCATGGACAACAGGGGAAGAAGAAGTACCAAGCTACTGAAAAACAAACAGTTGATGCACAGCAAACATGTTCTTCTCAAGGAAGAAATTGCTGCTTGAGTCATATTCTAGCAGCATGTATGTCATATTTTTGCAGCATAGAAGATGAAGGATTCCACCTTTCTCAAGTCTAGTATTGTTTTTCATTAATACTAATGCTAAATTCACCTGAAGTTGTGTAGTGTTATTTTGATGAGACATTAATATAATGGACCCCAGTCAGCTTAGAAAAGGAAAGCTAGAAGGTCACACACAAATATCTCAAGCAGATGTTTGACAAATACTTCTGTCAAACAAATCAGCTAGATTTGTTCTCAGCTACTAGTTGATGGTTATTGTTCTTATGTTTTGATTATGCCTCTTGTTTGGTTTATTGTTTTAATTATTGAAATGCAATATATTTAAATTTATGTTATATTTTATTTCTGTTTCTGTTGGGCTTGGTCCCCATGTAAGTTGCTTCGAGTCCCTTTGGGGAGCTGGTGGCGGGATATAATAATAAAGTTTTTTTAAAATAATTATTTTGTTTGTTTGTCAGAGGTACCAAGTAACATGGTTGTGAATGGACTAATACATAGAATATCAGTGTTGTAGAAAGGGTGTAAACCCATGTTCTAAGACTTAATTTTTAAAAAACATTTGCTGGTCAATATTGATGAGCTGTCAAGTCAAGAAAAATGTTGCAGTCTGATGTCTCATCTGACTCTGGATATTTTAAGTACCTGGTTTATCACAATGCAGTCTGTCATGCTGCATTGGATCAGAGCTTGAACTGGGAAATTATGGTACAAAGTGTGCATGGAGTACGACGGAAGACTGTTCATAATGTGTGTTTTGTATTATGGGGGATGAGATAATTTGACTAGGATTTGTATGCTTTGATACATTGTTTACAGGATTTATGCAGGAGCAGACAAGACTTTTCAGTCCTTTGAACAGGTGACCTTTGATTTCTAGATGCATCTTTATACTTTGATAGCTGTCTACCTCACTAAATTTACAGCAGGGATAACTATGGTATATGGTGTCGAAGGCTTTCATGTCTGGAATCACTAGGTTGCTGTGAGTTTTTCAGGTTGTATGGCCACGTTCCAGTAGCTATGAAAAACTCACAGCAACCCAACTATAGAATAGTTGAGTGTTACAACAGTGTCACTGTCTGTAGGGACACATCCAACTTTTAATTTTAGTTAACTATCAGAATACTATTGGCTGCAGTGATGATGGTGGTGGTAGCAGCTGTTTACTGATACAGAGTATGCCCATTTAGCTGATAAGGTAATGGGACCTTAGTGTGACTCTAGCACTATTTTTAGGAGCCATTTGCCATTGTAAAAATTGTGTGTTCCTCCCCAGAGTAGCATATGTTTATGACCTTAACCTGCCATAATCTTGGTTGTAGAACCCCTTGCAAGTCCTTGTGAATGCCATCATCAACAGCGGTCCTCGTGAAGACTCCACCCGTATTGGTCGAGCTGGCACAGTGAGGAGGCAGGCTGTGGATGTGTCACCACTGCGCCGCGTCAATCAGGTATGGCCTATTACAGAATAGAGAATTAGTGTTGATCCAAGCGATTCTTCTTCCCAACTTAACTGGTCTCTGTGTGTCTCCTTGTAGGCAATCTGGTTGCTCTGCACTGGGGCCCGTGAGGCTGCCTTCAGGAACATTAAGACCATAGCGGAGTGCCTTGCAGATGAGCTGATCAATGCTGCTAAGGTGAGGATTCACCAATAGAAAGATAATCTTGGATAGGGTGGTGGGTAATGGATTTTGTGTTTGGGGAAATCTCGAAGGTTAGATATTAAAGGGTGCTAGGGCTTCACGAGTAACTCATTTTGGTCTTATTTAATGTAGGGAAAACCCTTACACAGAAAGGCTAGTAACAGGGCTTTCGGAATTGGTGCCAACGTGCTAATCCTGGTCAGGACTGGAGTTTGACGCAAACATGTTCCTGAAATTTGGGGGGGGGGGGGGATCTTTGACCACATCACTGTAGGTTGACCTTCGGAATTTGTTTTTGAGGAAGAGTCTCACCATTCCTTCTGATTTCTAGGGTTCATCTAACTCCTATGCCATCAAGAAGAAGGACGAGCTGGAACGTGTGGCCAAATCCAACCGTTAAGAGCTCAAACTTAGAGGATCAAAGCAAATAAATCATTGGTTTTCATACTGTTTTCTTTCTTGGTGGGCTGCAACTTATTTCCTCAGATTATGACTTGACTGAAGTGCATTATCTCTTGAGATGGATGCTTGTGTTATTTGGGTTGCCTTCTCCCAATCAGCTGAGTTTTTGAAGATGAGTCAATGGTGGGAAATGTATACTGTTTTGGTTCAGTTGGAGAAATGTGGGCAGGGTGCATGCCCCAAATTTGGATGTTCAGTTGGGAGTCTGATAGGTATCTGCAATATCATGTCTGGCAGGAGGGTGAGAGCTTATAGAGCAGCAGAGGTGCTATGAGGGATATGTGTTTTTTAAAAAGAACAAATTCGTTATGAGCATTTTGAGAGAACCAAAGCGTCCTAAAAGCATATGTTTCTTCTTTATTGGATAGGATTGCTCCAACTCTGAGGTGCTTTTTGGACAAATACTTTACCAAGCAGCTATGCAGGGATATGAAAAGCTATTCAAATACGCTTCTCATAATCTGCAAAAGGGAAGAAGCTTGTGCTCCTTTCACTGATTTTGTTCTCCTAGCTGAGCATTTTAAATGTTTGCATTATGGATACTTCTTGCATGCATATTGAACTTTTATATGGTTCTTCTTGATCATTAGATAGAAAAGCAGTCTCCTTTCAGCTCTTCACAAAATAGAAGGGAATAATGCTTCTTTCTCTCCTACCAATAGTCTTTTGCTACTTTGGGAGTGATGTGAGCAAATTTCATTGTAAACCTGGCAAGGAAGAAGGGGCATAGGGCTACTTAGCCGGGTTTTGGCACAGCTGGTTAATCACCCGCAGGAATAGGTCACACCAATCAAAAGGTTGGCATTTCAAAGCCCGGGTCGGGGTAAACACCCGACCTTCAGCCCAGCTCACTGCCCACCTAAGCCAGTGGTTCTCAACCTGGGGTCCCCAGATGTTTTTGGCCTACAACTCCCAGAAATCCCAGCCAGTTTACCAGCTGTTAGGATTTCTGGGAGTTGAAGGCCAAAAACATCTGGCCTTCAACTCCCAGGTTGAGAACCACTGACCTAAGCAGTTCGAAAACAGCTGTGAGTAGAGAAATTAGGCACCACTTAAGTGGGAAGGTATTTTACAGGACACCAAAGTTGGGAAAATGCCAACATATACCTCTATCTGTTGCCTGCCCTGTTTGTTTTAACGTAGGCATGGGCAAACTTGGGCCCTCTAGGTTTTTTGGACTTCAACTCCCACAATTCCTAATGACCTCAGGCCCCTTTCTTTCCCTTCCTTTTTGCTTAAGCGACTGAGGGGGAAAAGGAAAGGGCCTGAGACTGTTAGGAATTGTGGGAGTTGAAGTTGAAACCACCTGGAGGGCCCAAGTTTGCCAATGCCTTGTTTAATGGCATCAAATGTTTGCCATGTATGTGCTTTGTGATTTCCCATGAGCTACCTTCAGGTTGAGAAGGGCGAATTATAAATACTATAAATAAATAATACATAGTGCTGGGATGCTATTTAGAACTTCCATAAACCTCAGTCGTAACAGACTTGGGTGGGGATTATGGGAGTTGTAATCTATAATTTGAAGCACGTCAGATTACAGTAATACATATTTGTCTGAATGTATGTATGTAAGAATGCAAATATCCTTAGATCTATCTAGGCTACTTCTGAAGGCAAAATCTTACATCAAAACCATAAAAGATACTCTTATTCAGGGTGTTTCAAAAAGATGGATTTGATTTGAAATTGCTGTCTCTGCAACCACTCACTGCCCCTGAAGGACACGTACCACTTGAAAGGATGTTATACGTATGTATATCCCACTTCATCTTAGAACTCAAAGCAGCCCACACTAGAAATCACACAATATGTAAATTAGAACCCAAAGCATACAAACATTAGAAATGGTCTTAATACAAGACTTCTTAAAATACATAGTTAAAACTATTTAAAAACCTGTTACACTATGTAAAACACAGTACGCCCTTGCTCGAGTTTAAAAACTTTCTTAAACCGTCCCCAGCCTCAATCATTTCCAAGATGGCAACCCTGCAATGCAAGGCCTAATGAGATATTCTCCATTTGCCAAGTTATTTTTTAAGATTTATTTCTGGCTCAAAATGGTTAGCAAAACTTGATAGCTCATTAAACCATTTGCAACTTCTTGCGTAATTGTAATATGTTGCCATTGTGAAATATATTGCTTTAAAATTGGGTCCATTATTTTGAAACAACTTGTATTTTTTGATAAAACTTTTTACTTTAAAAAAGAGTTTAAAATGCAGATAAGAAGACACAGTTAAGCATTAAGATTTTTGGATGAACTGTAGAGCCACTTAGCTTAAAATGTTGGGATGACATCAGCGGGCGGCCTTAAAGGGGGATTAGAGTAAAGTGTAAAGAGAAAGTGCAAAAGCTGGACTGTAGTTAAACATAAAAAACCCAAGATTATGGCAACAAGAATGATTGATAACTGGGAAATAGAGGGAGAAAGTGTGGAGGCAGTGACAGACTGTCTTTTTAGGTTCAAAGATTACTGCAAATGCAGACTGCAGCCAGGAAATCAGAAGACGCTTATTTCTTGGGAGGAGAACAAAGACCAATCTCGATAAAATAGTGAAGATTAGAGACATCACTCTGGCAACTAAGATCTGCATAGTCAAAGCAATGGTATTCCCCATAGTCACCTACGGATGTGAGAGCTGGACCCTAGGGAAGGCTGAGCGAAGGAAGATAGATGCTTTTGAACTGTGGTATTGGAGGAAAGTTCTGAGAGTGCCTTGGACAGCGAGAAGATCCAACCAGTTCATACTTCAGGAAATAAAGCCCAACTGCTCACTGGAGGGAAGATATTAGAGGCAAAGATCAAGTACTTTGGCCACATAACAAGACAGGAAAGCTTAGAGAAGACAATGATGCTGGGGAAAAAGGAAGGAAAAAGGAAGAGGGGCTGTCCAAGGGCAAGATGGATGGATGGTATCCTTGAAGTGACTGGCTTGACCTTGAAGGAGCTGGGGGTGGTGGCGACTGATAGGGAGCTCTGGCATGGGCTGGTCCATGAGGTCACGAAGAGCCGGAAGTGACTGAATGAATAAACAAAAAAGAGTAAAATGTGTAATGGCTAGGGTGTAGGTCAACAATAGGGCTCCAGAGTCACATACGTATCCACCACCAGTACACTGAACTTGGAGGACAATCTTACTTGGACAATGAGGGATCGCCTAAGTAAAAGTATGTAAGTTGGACTAGCAGGGGGGAGACCAGGCCTCAAATCCTCACTCCCCCAGCAGAGGCCAGTGGGTAAGTCGCACTCTCCACCTTTGAAAAGGCAAATGTCCTCTACAAACCATGATAGGTTCACCTCAGGGTTGCCATGAGTCAGAAAAGATTTGAAGGGTTATGACAACAAGAAGGCTGCAAGTAGCCTGATGATTGTTATGATCAGTGGCTCTTTATATTTCATGGAACCCTAGGCTTCCACAAAACATTGTAGGGTTCTGCAAAAATTAATAATCTGGATTTTAAAATAAAACCAAATGAGACCAACTATTTGATTTAGAGTCTCCGCTATTTTGTGCTATAATGATTACTATTAGGTATGTTTAAATGCCCATGGAGGCTTTTAAACAGGCTGGATGGCCATTTTCCTACTTCTTGGCAGCGGGTTGGACTGGATGGCCCACAAGGTATCTTCCAACTCTATGATTCTATGTAGTTAGCTGGCTACACATTTGAGCATCTTACAAGAGTGATTCATACATAGTCAATTTTTCACACTTGATTTCAGTTATTACATTTCTTTTCTCTTGTGCAGTTTTTGAGATGGAAGATATCTACGAGATATCTCGTACTAAAAAACCTAGAATTTTATATAGAAAATTGGGGGATGCATTTGAATTAGCAAAACATGATCCAGAATATATTGGTAGGGGGGGGGGGGGTGCGATGAAGTCACCTTCTTTGGAGGTTTTTTATTAATAGAGGCTTGGTGGCCATCTATGAGGAGGGCTTTGATTGGTTTTTTTTTTCTTTCATTGGCAAATGGGGTTGGACTGAAAGCCCTTTGGGAGTACGCTCCAACTTTAGGATTTTATATTTTGAGTAAACAAACCAGGAATAGATAGGGTTACACAGAAAATAATAAAAAATAGGGTTCTGCAGGGTTCTATGACGGAAAAAGTTTGGGAACCACTAGTCATGATGACTCCCATGATATATTCGTGATAAACACATACCTTTGAATACTACTAACCGGGGAATTAATATACTTGAGGGGGGTGCTGTTGAGATTGTCCGATTTGCATGTTCAAATACCTAAGGTATTTGTCCATTCTAGCTAGGTGACGAAAGTGTTGAAAGTTTCCATCCATTTGCAAAGAACTTGAAAATATTGGCTTGGAAACCTCTTCTCCGTGGCCTTTGACACTTTGTGGATTTGAGTTTCTGGTCTGTCTAAAGGTGAAACTGAGTGGCCTACTTACTGCACAGTACCTGCTTAAACATTTGAAAGCAAGGTTGCCTGCAAAAGAGTGAAGAACTGCCTATTTCACAATTGCATGCACAGAGTGCAGTTGTTGCTGAAGGGAATTTCTGCCTCTGGTCTTAAATAACTGCTTCCTAAGGGGTTAACCTTCTGGCTCCCATCACGAGGCCCATGACCCACAGGGATACAATTTGATTTTTAAGGGGGGCAATTTGAGGATGTGTTATTAACGTTGCATGTTCTTAGGGCTTCAAATACAGTATATAAATATAGAGACATACACAGTTTTGATATTAAAATCAGTTCTCTTCTGCAGGCTAAACATGACCAGCTCTTTAAGCCACTCCTCATAGGGCTTGTTCTCCAGACTAAAAGGATCAAGGGCCTGTTCAGCAGTGGAACTCTCTGCCCCAGAGTGTGGTGGAGGCTCCTTCTTTGGAGGTTTTTAAACAGAGTCTGGATGGACATCTGTCAGGGGTGCTTTGAATGTGATTTTCCTGCTTCTTGGCAGGGGGTTGGACTGGATGGCATACAAGGTCTCTTCCAACTCTAGAATTCCATTCC